TTCCCACATGCCTTTGGGAATTCAGATCCTGGAGGGAACAGTCCCCGACCAGAAAGGACGTAGCTAAAAGGAACAAAGGAAAAGAAAATCCCCCAAATCCCAGATGCTCCCTTAAAAAATCAGAGAGTCCAAAAGGAGGTGAGAGTTGTACACTCGAGCTGTCCTTTGCAGGCCAAATTTGGGAATACATTTGCAGGGATGTGAGGAGCACATTCCAAGGGGAAAAAGAATGTTTTTGTAAGTCACTGTATGCAAATCATCCTACGGATGGTGCTCACCGAGGGAAGGACGAGCCTTTCCTGGATCTTTTTCCAGCCAGGCAGCAAATTCCCATCTTCCCAGCCAGGGGGCACTGGAATCGCTCCGGGAAGGTGCTGCTCCTCCTCCTCCCTGCCTGCACATTCCTCCCGGGGCAGGTGACACGGTCGGGCTTAGGGAAGCCGGGATTCCAGGAGGGTTAGGCCGAGCGTAGCCCTCTAGTCTTCTTTTGCAGACCTTTGCTCTTATTTAATTTGAGGTTGGTTGGTTGGTTGGTTTTTTTTTTTTTTTTAATTTCTGAACCTGTTTGTTAGTAGGAGTAGAACTATTCAGTTACTTAGAGTGTTCTGGAAGATTGTGAATTGACTTTAGATATTTTTTTCTACTGAAACTAAGTTGTTGCAAAGTAAGTTGGGACTTAATTTAACTGTTTTGGTTTTTTGTTGTTTGTTGTTTTTTTTTTTAATGTTGCACTATTTTGGGGAGCGTTTTGCTAAACATATTTAATGAAGCTGCAAATTTGCATGTATTTAATTTATTTTGTATTTTTCAAAGTTTTATATTTTCTTTCTTTACGTGCATGTGCACTGCCAGAAGAATGAACTGTGAACTTGCCATATGCAATCTTGAATAAAATCCACTAATCCACAACTACTCTGTGCTATCTTACCAGCTGCTAGGAGCTGACGTTTCTACTCTGAACTAATAATCCTCTTGTTTTGGTTCTGAAACAGCTATTTTGGGAAAGATACCAAACTTATTTGCTGTCAAAAGATTTTTGTGTGGTAGGAAAACTTTTTGTTCTGTCTTTCGAATTGGGAGTTTGTTATGAAATTGTATTGTAGACGCAATATTAGCTTAAAAATAAAAAAAAAAAAGGTGTGAATTCCTCAGAGCATCACCAGGGCAGTTCTGGAGGGCAGTTCTGAGAGCTTTCTGCAGCTTGAGGGATAAGTTGACTTGGACATCTCTTAATGGTGCTAGTGCTGATCAGCCAGTCAGTCCCACTAGCCGAGAACAAATTAAGTTTCTCCAAGTTCACTTTTCCATCCGGACTGCAGGAGGATTTCCTCCAACTGGAATGCCAAAAGGATGCCTTGGGCTAAAATTCTCCAAATGTGTAATAACTGGAAATCACCAATTCTCAGTTGAACATACTCTGCTTCTGTATCTATTTTGATTTTTTTTTAAGCCTATTTTAATCGGGCGACTTCAGTTTGTACCGCGTGCTGTATATTCAACTTTTGTACCATTTTTAAGGCTTTCACGTTTTATATCTGGAGAGGAAAACCACACATCTGCTCTGCAGAGATCCAAACCTGTCTCCTGCCGTTTCTGCCACCTGATCCTTACTTTCTTTGCTCTTTGAGTGTTGTGTTCTATTTACCTGAGGCTCATTTTCAAGTTGTGGTTTGTACAGCGCAAAAGAAATTTCACATCTAAAAATGTCATGCATGGGACAAATTTGGGTGGAAATATGAATGGGAAACGTGTTTCAGATGGAACTAAAGTGCATATTGTTCTTTTTGCTAGTATTTAAAAAGTATTTCTGGCTCACTCGAGCTTCTCTTAATGATATGTTCAAATATCTTGTGTTTGTCCTTGAGTTCACGTTTCATCAACTTGTTTTCTGGAAAGCAAGGAAAGTTTTAGGCCTGGAAAGATCTTGGCTGATGCATTTTTAAGTTTGTATTCAACAAGGGTGAGAGTTTGATTATCCTGAATATACCGAAAACTTAAAAATTAAGTCACAAGAATTTTTACTACAGAACCCTGAGTAAATTTTCAATTTCATTTTATAAATCCTGATGGACTAAGGTTGCACATTTGCCTGAAATCTTTATAAATCAGAGAATCCTGGAGTGGATTGGGTTGGAAGGGACCTTAAAGCCCATCCAGTCCCACCTCCTTCCATGAGCAGGGACACCTTCCACTAGTGCAGGTCGCTCCAACCTGGCCTTGGACACTTCCAGGGATCCAGGGGCAGCCACAGCTTCTCTGGGCAACCTGGGCCAGGGCCTCCCCACCCTCGCAGCCAGCAATTCCTTCCCAATATCCCACCTAAACCGACCCTAAGAATTTTAATTTGAACACTGTTTAATTTGAAGAAAAGGGTGTTTAAACCCAACGGTGCCGAAGGTCCGACGGGAAAAGGCCTCACCAGGTTTCCGCTGTCGGAGGAGAAACACCTCCTGCAAACACCAATTCCCACCTCGACGGGAAGAGGGGAAAGAATCAGGAAATAAATTGATAGCAGGATAATCTTAATCTCCCCTTGCTTTGTTTTTTTTTGTTGTTGTTTTTTTTTCTGTCTTCACTGTGCCTGTACGAACTGCGACGTGCTCCGGCAGCATCCGCCGTGCAGGAGGGAACTGCTCCGGCCGTTCCTTCCCGCCCTCACAGCCCTGCCCATGGACACCCCTCTCACTGTGGGAGAGCCACGGGGGGGGCTGAGGCATTCTGTAGATTTATACCTGTCTAGTTTGTAAAGTTGTGTAACGTGTACTGCAGATGTGTATTCTCTGGGCTCTATGTATCTTTACAGTAGTGTTCAATTTAGGATTAAAAAAAAAAACAAAACAAAACAAAAAAAAAACCCCAAAAAAATAAATTGTGGACACGTTTTGCTGGTACCAAGGGGAAATTTTTTTTGCCATTGCATCAAACGATGCTGAAATGTATTAAACTCTTGATAGGAAACCTGAACCCTCCTTCCCCCATCCCGTGGAGATAAGTCTTTTATCTTCATCCTGAAGTTCTACCGGAGATGGATGGATACACTGGCAGACTGCATGAGATGTATCATTCGAAATCCGTTACAGTGGAAAATAAAACTGAGCTAAACTCTGCGGTGTGGGCCTTGTGTGACACGGGACGTCCAGCAGGGACTGCTCTCTGTGACAGGGACAAGACCCAGGGAATGGCCTGGAGTTGTGTCAAGGCAGGGTCACGTTGGATCTCAGGGAAAGGTTCTGTCCCCAGAGGTTGGTTGGCACTGAACAGGCTCCCCAGGGCAGTGGGCACGGCCCCAAGGCTGCCAGAGCTCCAGGAGGGTTTGGATGATGCTCTGGGGCACAGGGTGGGATTGTTGGGGTGTCTGTGCAGGGACAGGGGTTGGACTGATGATCCTTGGGGGTCCCTTCCAGCTCAGGATATTCCATGATTCTCTAAGTGACCCATTCAATGGAATTGCACTCCAGAGCGTGCTGGAGTCCATGTCCAAGGCCACACTCTGGATTTTAACCTTCCTTCTAAAACTGCACCGTGTAATTCATAGAATCCTAGACTGGTTTGACTTGAAGGGACCTTAAAGCTCATCTCACCCACTCCCTGCCATGGGCAGGGTCACTTTCCACTAGCCCAGGTTGCCCCAAGCCCCGTCCAACCTGGCCTTGGACACTTCCAGGGATGGGGCATTAATTAGAAGGTTTGGATGACTGGGAAACAAAGACAGCATTTTAAATTTTTTTTTAATAAATAATTGCTTCTTCTTTATTACCTCTCCATGGACATATTCCTTCTTCCTCCTCTTTTTTAGTAGCCTGGAGTATCACAGGGAGACTCTTCCACTTACCCTCTGCATGCATTTCCATTTTTATAGGAATATTACACTCACTTTATGTACAGTGCAGTGAAGTTCCTGCCTCCTTGCCACCTCCCTTAAGTCATACTCGGGAGCTTTGTAAACAGCTTATTTCCAGTAATTATTACTCTGAGGAGTTCTCAATTAAATCATTACCTTTCTCCTCAGCAATGGAAATTCCATTGGATTCTGTAGAAATGGATTGCTCCCTTTTTTTGCCTGATGAGTGGATTTCTAATGAGAATTACGTGGGTTTTGCACCAAGCCTAGCAGAGCTAGAAATTAGTCTGGCAAAATTTGGAGTTGATTATTTCTAAATCAGAATAAATATTGGATTGTGCTGCTTTCAGTGTGTAAAAGGTGCTTCCTCATGCTCTGAGAAGCTGCTGCCTGCAGGATGAGGATGGATCCATCTGGGAAGAAGAGGCTTTCCAATGTAGATGGTTTATGTTAAGGAGAGCAGATGGGAAGTCTGAACATTCCCCCATAGCCCTGCAGAGGAAGGCAGACGCTGTGCAGTGCCAGAGCTTTTTCCGTGAGTTAAAACCCTTCTAGATCTCTTTGATAAACCTCGTGCCTGGAGGATGAACTCAATTACAGAGCAGACTGTTTGCAAGTTTATCCCTACAATTTCACTTTCGGGATGTGGGATCGCAGCAGTTAATTAACTCCATGAAAACATCACAAATTACTGTATCCATTTCCAAGATCCGGCTTACGCAACAGCCCAGCGAAAAACAAAGGGTTTGCATCCGTAGAAAAACACTCGCTGCGAGCCTGTCACTGTTGATTTCAACACTTCTTAACTCCGACTTAAATACTTTAAATTTAGCGCAGCTGAACCCAGCGGAGACTATTTATCCTAAAATGAGGTTGGTCAGTAGTTTGGGCTCAAGTCACCTGGTGGTCCCACGAATCAGCTCGTCCTTGATACACTTTGATGCCACGTTGATACCGGTCCCGGGGGAAGGGGAAGGTGTCGGGAAAGGTGTCGGTGCAGCTCTCGGGGGGATGCTCGGTTGGGGGGTCCCCTCCTCGCCCCCGCAGCCGCCCGGGCGGTCCCGCCCTGCCCGCAGGTCCCACCGCCCCGGGGGCGGGCGCGGGGTGTCCGAGCCGAGCTCCCCGCCCCGGCCCCTCCTCCGGCACCAGCACAGCCCCAGCCCTGTGTCCTGGTGCTCCAGTGTCCCGGTATCCCGGTGTCCTGGTATCCCGGAGTCCCGGTGCGGCCGCCGAGCCCGCCCCTGCACGGACGGTGAGTGCGGGGAAGGGGCCCGGGAAGGGAGCGGGGCTGGGACGGGCTCGGGGTTGGGAGTCCCGTCCTGCCGCCCCAGGGGATGCTGAGCCGCGGCCCCAACCCCGGCGGTGTCGGGGGGCGGGAGGTAGCACCGAAATCCATGTGTCCCCAGCTCTGCGGGGAGTGGGAGGTGACACCGAAATCTGGGTGTCCCCAGTCCCAGGAGTTTTGCCCAGCGAGAAGTGGCAGCAAAATCGGGGTGTCCCCAGCCCCGTGGGGAGCAGAAGTGGCACTGAAATCCGGGTGTCCCCAGCTCTGCAGGGAGTGAAAATCAGGGTGTCCCCAGCCCCACTGGTTTTGGGGAGTGGGAGGTGGCACCGAAATCAGGGTGCCCCCAGCTCCGTGGGGAGCAGGAGGTGGCAGCAAAGTCAAGGTGTCCCCAGACCGTGCAGTTTTGGGGAGCAGGAGGTAGCACCAAAATCAGGGTGTCCCCAGCAGCTGTGGTGCTGGTGGGAAGGAACCAGACTGTGGGAAGGAACCAGGCTGTGGGAATCACTGGGTGTGCAGCGTCAAGGGACCCAAATCATAGCCCGTGGTTTACAAGTCTATTGTAAAAGTGCAGTTATTGCACATCTCCTGATGGTTATAGAGCTGTAAAAGGTTCTGTGTTCCACAGCTACGGCAGCAAAGCTTGGGCTCTTTTAAAGTAGGCGTGTTAAGCTTCACTGTAGGAAGTGCCAGAACACAATAAAAATGTACCTAGGGAAGCAAATACCAGCAAAAAAATACAAGCTGCCCACCATGAAGGCTAGAGAGGGACTTGGGACAAGGGATGGAGGGACAGGACACCAGGAATGGCTTCCCACTACCAGAGGGCAGGGTTGGATGGGATATTGGGAAGGAATTGTTGGCTGTGAGGGTGGCGAGGCTCTGGCACAGGTTGCCCAGAGAAGCTGTGGCTGCCCTATGCCTGGAAATGTTCAAGGCTTGGAGCAACCTGGGCTAGTGGAAGGTGTCCCTGCCCATGGCAGGGGGGTGGAACAAGATGAGGTTTAAGGTCCCCTCCAACCCAAACCATTCTGAGATCCTATGAAAGTACGTGAGCAGGTGCTGGGCTGACACTGGCAGGTTGTTGCTGCCTTTTGCACGGTGTTTCTCCTGAGAAGGGACCCTGGCTCCTTGTACCTATTCCCTATATCCAAATGCATATCCCTGCACTGAATCAGGCTGTAAATCCCTTGGAACAACCACCAGCAGTGTTGTTTGGTATCACAGGCACCGAGGGCTCGGTGCTGCGCGAGGCCCACGGGTGCTCTGCTAATGCAGGGAATGAAAACAACCTCAGCATTGAGGAGTGTCCGTGGTTCACCCAGAGAGAACTGGTTTGCAAGACTCAGCTGGTTGATTCCTAAGGGCAATCTCAGGAAAATGGGTTTGTGTGATTTCCCTTCTGTCAGAGGGTAAGTGCAGCGAGAGCCTGGAACCGCAGATGGGGAGATCAGAGCAGTGGCAGAGCCATGTGCTGCAGCCTCTCTCATAAATACAGGACTGGTAATCCCAGATGCTCAGGTAATGACTCAAGTTTCTCTCCCTCAACAAACATGTTTTCGTTTAAAATTATAAAATCTCAAATGCTGAGATCTCTCTTTCTCGGGTCGGTTTGGAACCTCTAAGTTTAAGGTTTTAGAGCTTTTTCTGTAGCTATGAACCTTCCCACTGTGATACCCCATCCTGCCTCTGCTCCAGTGAGTTCTGAAGAAAAGGACAAAGAAAATTAAAAAGGTTTATGATGACAAAGAGTTGTGTTTGAGAACACAGGGACCAGCTTGGAGGAGGAGAATTCAGAGCTGTGGTGTCTGTCTCCCGTCGGTCCCTGGCCAGGCTGTGTACCTGCAGTGCAGGTGAATTCTAGAGGTAATTGCAGATGGATGTTTAATAGCATGGAAGAAGGGAGTTGTCCTGGTTGTTACACAGCTTGGTGATTCATCAGTCTTTGCAGGGTGATAGTTTTGCTCCTCTAGTCAGCCCACAATTAACTCAGTTCCCAGTGTTTTCCCTCTCTCCTCCATGCCTTGCTTTAACTCAGCTAACATTTCCCAGCATGGTAATTGCAGTGCCAGCTCCCAGCCAGTGCCATCCCTTCCAGAGTGGATAATCTCCCTCAGCCTGGCTTTGCCAGAGCTGCAACTCCAAGGTTGGACATCTGGCTGTGTGATGTTTGCTGTCAGGGGCCCGGGAAATCCTCTAATCAACTTGTGCAGGATGGATCCCACGTGCTGATCCTGGAAACACTCGGGAAGAATTCCATCCTCTGGCTGGCTCTGGGTGCTTTATCTGGCAGGAAGAAGAGGGAGAGCACAGCCAAGGTGGGGAGATGTGCTGGGGAACGTGTGCCTTTGGCAAGCACGGGGCACTGCAGGGAAGGAACCAGTGCTACAGGAACAGGCACCTTTTCCTGCACCCTTGGGAGCTCTGGAGAAGGGACACCGGTGCCTTGGGAATTCCTAAGTAGATTCCTGCCATGCAGACAGGTTATCACCATCTCTTCCTGCTTGGTTTTCTGTTTGTCCAAGCTTCAGATGTGGGAGAAGACAGAGGGAATGTTTCCTTTTCTACTCTTTATACAAATTATGTAGGAGACCCCTGTCTCAAATCAGGAGTTGCAAACTTGGATTACAAAACAGAGTCGCTATGATTTCCACCTTCTAGTGGAAAGTGTCCTTGACCATGGCAGAGGGATGGAATGAGATGGGTTTAAGGTGCCTCCCAACCCAAACCACTCCATGATTAAAAATAAACAAATAATGATAATTTTGCTGCATGAATTCTCATAATTCTGAAAACTCCCCTCTATTTTTTTGTTTTTAAAGTGTAGCTTCCTAAATATTTTAATTCCTCATGTCCATGGGCTGGATCTTGTGGATTCAAAGGAAAGGAATTTTTCAGTTATTCAAGTGTGTGACTCAAAGGCCTCCTGGATGAGGAGGGTTCAGAAGTGGTGAAAAGGTACCTCCGATAGTGCCACGCCAATAAACTTCAGAAGGAATTTCTGAAGCTTAATTCCTGAATTAAGCTTTCCTTAAGGATTGAGTGGGATCGGGTGATGCCTGTGATGTTGGCAGTTATTGTGCCATTAATTGCTGTGAGAATCTTTTAATCTCAGTAAGAGCTTTCCCCTGGGCTTTGCACGTGCTTCCAGCTGATCCCCAGGCTGGTTATTCCCAGTGCCAAATGCTGAAGTTGGCACTGGGAACCCAATCCAGGTTGGATTGGGCTTGGAACAACCTGGTGTAGTGGAAGGTGTCCCTGCCCATGGCAGAGGGTTGGAACAAAGTGGTCTGTAATGTCCCATCCAACCCAAACCATTCCAAGATTCTGTGATTTTAAGGGAATGCTCAGGACAACTGTTGGCAGTTGTTGTTTTCTCGCTGCCCATGAGCAGCCAGAACACAGAGCCCAGACCAGGATCCCTTTTCCCAGTGCAACAGCACCAATCTACCCACACCAACAAAACCAGGTTGGGATTTCTTGCCTCAAGCCTGGGGCCTTTTGATGTACCTGCTCTGAACTCCAGGGTTTTGGCTTTGAACCAAATGAGGGTAAAATTTGGAGTTTTTGTCTGGGCTTTGCTTTGATATTTAAACAAATTTAAACTCTTGTGTGAAACCTGCTTAAAATACACTTGGAGATCCCACTGCTGATATCACTTTGCAGATATGGAAATGGGACAGTAAGGGATTGGAACCTGAGTCTTTGTGCTAAAAAAAAACCACCCAGAGAATCATCCTAGAATAGTTGGGGTTGGAAGGGAATTTAATATCATCTCATTCCACACCCTGCCATGGGCAGGGACACCTTCCACTAGTCCAGGTTGCTCCAGCCTGGCCTTGGACACTTCCAGGGATCCAGGGGCAGCCACAGCTTCTCTGGGCAACCTGTGCCAGGGCCTCCCCACCCTCCCAGACAAGGAAAGATCGAGTCTTTAGCAATATCCTGACTGGATAAATGGCTCTAGATAAGTAATTTATCTTCTTTCAGTGTATTTCTTGTCTCATTCTGGAGAATTGTGGACTCTTAGATCTAATATTTCAACTCACCAGCTCTCAGTCCAGGGAAAGGTCCACTCCATCCTTCATTTTCATCCTTCATTATCCTTCATTTTTTATAGTAGGAGTACATGCTGAAAAGCAAAATGGGAGGAGATGCTTGCAGTAAGAAGGTGAAAAATTGGATGTATAAATAGATTGAACATGCTGCTTATTCAAAATTTTGAAGTGGAGTCATTTTAACACTCACTTTAATTAATTTTGCCCATAAATTAGTGTGTCTGTGAGAACAGTTTTCTTTCCTGTGTCAGTCGAAATGGCCTTGTAGTTTTTCAATGAAGAAATGTGTCTTTCTTCCCTGCAGCCTAATTACACTGGTATCATTTGGTATTTTCAAATGATAGAGAAGCTAAGACTGAAATCCTCGGGATATGTGGATGGAGAACTAACACCAGTTGTAGGAGCAGACTTGATTTGCATCTGTATTTTTGCCTTAGGTTTAAATGTAAGATATTGTAATTTTTTTTCTGTTATTTAAAAATTGAAGAAACAAGTACCATCTTTAGTGGTCTGTAGGCCCTCAGGATGATAATAATTCCTTCCAAAATTGCTCCATGTGGTTTTTCTCCTAAGTGTCTGACACACAGGGCAGCATTGAAGCTGTGTTGGGGAGAGCAGCTTGCCATCCTAGGCTGGCTCATCCTCTAGGATCTGTGAAGCTGCCCCTGGCAGTGATGAATAACTCATGCTTCAGGGCAGACTTATCTCCTCCCTTACACACCTTCCCAATTGGGCCATGTCAAAACCAGCAAGAGGTGTAAGATTATCTCCCCGACCCCAGCAGATCGTGCCCTGGAGTGTGGTGATTACCCTGCTCAGAGTCTAAACATGCACAAGTGCAGATGGGAGCACTTACCCGTCATCTAATCCTGTTTTTTGGGAAAAGTGCTGCCCTGGCTTTGTCTTGATGTG